CTCTCGCCCTTGGAAAAGAAGCGGGCAATGCTAGGCCGACCTTCGTTCAATCTTCGCCGCTTCTCAGGCCGGCCTTCATCGACATCCGGTGTCGCAGTGTTACTTCGTGGTGGGACATCGATCGCAGCCCTGGCTTCATCTCCCTTCAGCAGGAACGTGTCGATGCCTTTATTACCCGACACACCTTCTTCGAAGCCGCCCACACTAAGCGATAGATTTGCGCACGGCCAGGCTCTCCCGTCCACAATGACTTGTCCAAGCAAGGTTTTGGCAAGTTCAAACAGCATCATCTCGTCGATCTTCTTGCCTCCTGGTATTGGTAGTTGTTTTGACCTGGTCTGTCCGCCTTGCCGGTGGTGTAGAGTGATGGTCTTGGGTCTTCTCTTGTGCTCGAGCACGCCTTCCTCGACCAAGCGAGCATAGATGTCTGCTACAAAAATCCTTAGCCATTTATTAGCCTGCTCCGTTGTGTTGATAGACGGTCTGAAAGATTTAGCAGATAGCATTGATTTGATTTGCGTCCGCGAACTGACTTCGCTGTTGTCCTCGCCACGAATCGTTCCATAAAGCCACGTTCCCGTGTCGTCGCCCAACTTGGCCTTGAGTTGTTCGAGGGGAATCGTGAGGAGGTCCGTGACATCGTCCGTGTTGAAGGTGTCGACAATATGATCCCCGAGTTTGCCGCCCAGATTGCGTATCTTTGTAAATTTGAACCCGGACAAGAAGTGCTGGACCGCCCGATTGCGGACAATAGTTTGCTGATTGGGCTTTTTATACCCAGCTCCAAGCTTGGCCATCATCTTGTTACGCGCAATACCGGCTGAGCAGGTGTACTTCAGCTTCTCGCGAATCGTCTTCCGCACACCCCGGACGATCTCAGAGCCAATGTTCATGACCACGTCGTCCCAATCAGGGTCGTCGTCTTCCGTCTCTGTGGAATCGAGGTCCACCAGAGCATCTGCCTCCCAATTCAGAGCCGTTGAGGGCGGCAGGGGCAAGTTCTCTGTCGGATCGTCGTAGGGCACGTACTGAAGTTCCGGATACCTTTCTAGCAGGATCTGGTGGATCTGGGCCGACAGGTCGAGAAAGACCTCGTCAATGCTAGCTTTCTCGACACGCTGTATCGGCGGCGGGGGCAGGATCTCCTTGACGAGGGCCAGACTCTTCCTCGACTCCAGACGATACGGGTCTAGCGACACCTTGTCCGTCTGGATGTGCTTTGCAGCATCGTCCCGGTACGCCCACTTGTCGTCGCCTTCACGCCATGTCGCAACGTGCTGGATCACAATCTGCGGACACTTTGATTTTGCTTCGGTGACGGTGACGTGTCTGTTCAAGCCGAATTCCCGGGCAGGATAGTTGATGGCGATGAGACCTTGCCACTGCTGGACGGCCAGTGGCTGGGTCTCGGCCACGCCCAGTCTCACCATCTCACACTGCGCATAGAAGGCATCATAGTCGATCAGTGCGATGCACCTCAAGGGACAAGACGTGGACGATTGGCTAAGGAGATGGAGGTGCTTGTACGTGAACTGCGACTTCTTCCTGGCACCAGCGCGGGTGAGGGGCGATGAGGGCACAAAGGGCTGCGACGAAGACATGGGACAGCGAGTTCAGTTGTAGAGCATTAGCGCCCGCGCCGTGGATGAAGGCTTGATCACTCCATTTCCCGCAGTATCTTGTTCGGCACCGGGGAACTCGTGGTCTCCAGAACTGAATGGTTGTCAATGCCGTGAACGTGAGAGGGCGTGATGGCGTCGCGTGGTGGGTGTAATATCTTTACGCGTGTCTATGATGATGTAACCGCTTGACGTCCACTTCATAGGCAATCCATAGTTAAAGAAGCGCCTACATGTTCAGATAAGCCTTACTTAATTGCTTGGCGACTCAGGCAGTGCTAGGGCTCGCCAGGTATCACCCTCCCCCTAAAAGAACCTCGTCATAGCCCCCGAGCTTTGGATGATAGGCGCCTCGGTACATAGGTACACAGGCACCTAGCGGGCTTTCAGTAATACTCGGAACAGACGACTCCATAAATGTCTTGAGGGCCCGTTTTTCCATGTGCAGTCCATCCTCATGTTACCATACACTCCTTGACTCTGCAGACAACTCCTGCATTGAGGTTCATGTGCCATCACACTCCATTTGGCCACAAATGATGAGCGCAGGGACTGGCGCACCTTGCGGTGTGCCTGTCTACCTCCCTTGAACAAAAGCTAATCCTTGTTGCTTAGCTGTATGGCTGGTTAGTGGGAGCTCGGCTCGCTTGAGGCGACCCGTCCCTCATTCCCTTCTTCGATCCGAACTTCGAGGTATATACCTGCTTCTGCTTCCCCTCCATCCACCACTGGGGACTTCTATCATCGATCCCCGTGCGTCAGGGAGCAGGGTGAACCAAAATGAGACCACAGCCGAGCGCGCTATTTGGATGCCTCCTTATTGAGCTCATGGGTCATGGTTCTGCGTCCTTCGCCCACCCGTATCCTGCTGGCCTCAACACCGGTGACGCTTTCAATTGGACCGAGATCCCATCTTCAAGAGAGCTTCACTACCACAAATGTTATGACTCCTTTGAATGCGCCAGGTTAGAGGTGCCCCTTGATTGGTCCAACTCGTCGAATCCTGGCTCGGTCATTTTAGCGATCGCGAGGTTGCCTGCTGTGGTGGACGTCGGGGATGAATCTTTTGGAGGCACAGTGGTCATCAATCCTGGAGGCCCAAGCGGTTCCGGCGTGGGCATCCTGCTTTGGTCCGGCAAGAGCATCCAAAATATTCTGGATGGTGACAAGCATTTTGAGATTCTGTCTTTCGACCCCCGTGGTGTACAATTCTCAACGCCCAGTTTGGCCTGCTTTCAAGATGACGCTGTGAGAGACACTCTCAGTCTCCTGGGAGCAGGCGCTGGAAGTCTCGAATCCAACCTCAATGCCTTGAATGTTAAATGGGCCATTGACCAAAGCCTTGGCCTTCTTTGCGCACAAACGAGCAAAGGCAGATTTCCCGATGGTTCAAGTATCCGTCAGTTTGTGAGTACGGCGTTGGTGGCCCACGACATGATAGAAATCATTGATCAAGTTGACGTACATCTGCGGAGAGAGCTGAGGTCGAAAGACAGCCATGCTCGTAATCAACAGGCGCTTGACTCGGCAGAGTCAAACGAGGGTCCTCCGCTTCTCAACTACTGGGGTCTATCGTATGGCACCTTCTTGGGAAATACTTTTGCTTCTATGTTTCCACACCGAATTGGCCGCATGGTCTTGGACGGGGTTGTCGACGCAGATGACTATATTGCTACAGGATGGACAACTAATCTTCAGGACAACATGAAGTCGTGGACCAAGTTCTTCGAGTATTGTTTCGAGGCCGGGCCAAAGTGTGCTCTATCGGATCCTACGATTAGTGGCCCTGAAGAGATGCGATGGCAAGTCGAGAACTTTGTCGATGGCCTCAAGAACAACCCCTTACCCTTGGTCCAAAACGACAACGCTTACATCCTCACTTACTTCAACATGAAGGCCATCATTCATATGCACCTATATCAACCCATCCAATTGTGGCCGCTTTTGGCATTGGTTTTCAAAGCTCTGATGGAGCAAGACATCTCCAGAGCCATGTCAGCGTGGGAGAGCTGGCCGTTCCCTGAACCTGGACACTTTGCACCACTGCTTCCAAATGTCCCTCACATGCCTCTGTCACCAAACGGCTTTATTGGAAAGGACCTACCGCTCCCGTCAAGTTATCCGTGGCAACTGGAATCCAGCGTCTCTATCCTCTGTGGAGATGGTGACGACATCACTTTTCGATCAAAGCGGGACTTTACAAAGTACCTGGATCTACTGCTATCACAATCTCCCGTCGTAGGATCCATCTGGGCCGAAATTACCCTACATTGCATCCTCTGGGATCCAACCAACCGACCTTCTCCCAAAAACCGGTTCACAGGTCCGTTCCAGTCGAACCTCTCCGATTACGACCCTCGTGGGAGCCCGCTGCTGTTCATCGGCAACACAGCGGACCCGGTGACGCCGGTGCGGAATGCGTTCAGAATGGCACAACGGCATGAAGGCAGCGTCGTTGTCACCCAGGATATGCCGGGACACTGCGCGGGCACGACCAACCCCAGCGTGTGCACGTTTGGGGTCTTGAAAAGGTTCTTCGCCCACAGCGAGTTACCGCAGGCTGGACTTGTGTGTGAGGCGGCGGTGAAACCATGGGATAAATGAGGGTAGGGAAACCAACAGTGTGTCTATAGATATATATTGCGAGGGTCAGAGCAAAGAGGGATAGATGAGCCTGATGGTGCAACAAGGCGGATGCTGGGCCACGAGTTTCATATATACATCACTAGATTATGTGGGATGACGTGCATATGTGCTTGAACATGTCAATGAATTTGGACAACATACCTAACTACCTATGGAGATATTGCGAGGCTGTACGACATAATTACAGTAGGTACGAGGTCGATTTACCGCAAGTACTCGGTAACTGTGCAGTAGGTCTGGCAGTACCTATAGATAAGAAAATCATCCACCCTTATCTACACGTGATATCAATTTTCAAACAAACTCTCCCACTCAACTCGAGTGCCATATCCTTCCTTCTTCACCTTTATTCCTTTTCAACTTCAAATCTTTTCCCAGCCTGTACAAAATAATTCTCAAACTAATACTTACTCAAACCTAGAAATCTATCACGGGAGTCTTCAAGAGTATCTCATCCATCTGTTGGGGGATTATCCACGGGTTTTTCAAAACATAGACGAGAAATTTCAACACAAAAAGGTGCTTCGGGTCTTGTTGGTCGAGCTTTCATCTTTGCCCTTCGGGGGTCCTGTTCTTATCACCAGATCGAGGATTCAGAAGATATTTGTCATCTGTTCCGTGCTGCACGACAAGATCAAAGCGTTGGAAAGAGAGTGAGTGAGAGGGTAGAGTAGGGAAAGGAGAATCGACGAGAGTCAAACGACCGTGAAGAGGGAAAGGGGGGGACACCTAGCCATGGTCTCGACATTCCTCACCCCGACGCGCGTCGCCAAAGAGCACGACCTGGCCTCACTGCACCTGCGCCGCGACCAGGCCCTGCCCGTGGTTCTCTCCACACAGGTGACCCGGGATGCCGACGACGGGTACGCCGAGGGCGTGGTGACCAACACGCGGTTCGGCTCGTTTCCACACTCGACCATCATCGGCGCTCCCTGGGGGAGCCAGATCCGGGCCAGCAAAGTCGATACCGGCTCGAGGGGACGAATCAAGCAGAAGCAGAAACAGAAGCAGCCACAACAGAAGGGAAAGGATATCGTCTCCGGCGGTGGCGGGAAGAAAAGAAAGGCCGACGAAGCGCTCTTGGAAGATGAAGACAGGAGAATAAAGACGGCGGCGGCGGTGGAGGAGGTGGTGGTAGGGGACGAAGAGGAGGGAGGCCGAAGAAGCGAGCATGTAAATCCTCCGCAAGACGGGTTGCAAAGAGGAGAAGGGACGGGAGCGGTCGAGGGAGCAGCAGTCAAGGAGGCCGTCGTGGCCGAGTCGGGCTTCGTGCACGTCCTCCCGCCCACGCCCGAGAACTGGACCACCAGTCTCCCCCACCGGACCCAGGTCGTCTACACGCCCGACTACAGCTACATCTTGCACCGGATCCGCGCGAGGCCGGGGAGCAGGCTGATCGAGGCGGGCAGTGGCAGCGGGAGTTTCACACACGCCGCCGCCAGGGCTGTCTTTTGCGGGTATCCCGAAGACGAGCACCGTTCTCGTCAAAGTGCGGACGAGGAGGAAGGGAGGAGCAGTGACATCCAGGACGCAGTGCAAGGAGAGAAAGAGGGGATTGGAGAAACCACGCCAGATGACAAGGGCAAGGGACACGAGGACATCGACCGGTTCGGACGAGTATTCAGCTACGAATTTCACCGCGAGCGGCACGAAAAGGTCAAGGCGGAGATGGTCCAGCACGGACTAGACACCGTGGTGCACGCCATGCATCGAGATGTCTACAAAGATGGGTTTCTGATCTACGATTCTGAAGACACTCCCACCGGCGAGAAAACGTCCCCCAACGCAAACGCCATCTTTCTGGACCTGCCTTGTCCGTGGGAAGCTCTTCCACATTTGACGCGCGAGTCGTCGCAGCAAGGTTCCCCCAGCGTCCTCGACCCTCACTCGGCGGTCCATATATGCACATTTAGCCCTTGTATCGAGCAGGCGCAAAAAACTATCTCCGCGCTTCGGAAATATGACTGGATCGAGATCGAGATGATCGAAGTCCAACACAAGCGCATCGACGTTCGACGAGAATACACCGGCTTGCAGTACAATGGCATGCGCGGCACCAACGCTTTTGCTGCGAATGTTGAGGAGGCGGTCTCTCGACTCAGAGAGGTAGAACAACGGTTAAAGGATTTCCACACAGGAAAGAGCCTGGGTGAAGACAATAAGTCTAGAAAGGTCAAGGACCAGCAACACCAAGTCGACGTGGGGAAACTACCATTCAACGGAGGCAGGCTCGTGCACAGGACAGAGGCCGAAGTGAAAACCCACACTTCGTACCTCGTCTTTGCTGTGTTACCAAGGCTCTGGACCGAAGAAGACGAAGCCTTAGCACAGGAGAGGTGGTCGAAGCATGTCAAGATGGTATCGCATGCGCCCAAGAGCCAGCGCCAACTGAAGAAGGAAGCAAAACTGAGAGCGAAAGGTCAGCTCCAGAACGATGTTAAGGACAAAGAGTCGGAGGTGAACGCAGAGGCGGCAAAGAATGCCATGTGACTAGTGGCTGAGTTGAATGCCCTAAGGGCGATGCATCTCGGGACAATGTAATGCCTTACCCCTGTTTCTAGAAGCCACACCAGAGTCAGCCTTGGTGGGATCTGATATCGCGCTGAACACACAGGACGTCCATTATTAAGGGGCCTATCGCCATGTTAGCCTAGCTGATGGATCCATCTCGGCGATTTGCAAGGCCGCCTCAAGGCGTAACCATGAGATTCAGCCTGCCACGTGACTTTGTTCCCGTCAGGATCGATGACCAGGAAAATCTACTCCATGGCAACACCTGAGAGGCACGTCTGCCTTCTAGGCTTGAATTCACAGACCCTGAGAACCTCTTCGGAGTTTGCCATAATGTCTGCGTCCAGTAGCACCGCCCCAATCGAGCCTCTAGGTTTTCTTTCATCAGGCTCTGGCTAATCCTCAAGCGGAAAGAGTTGCGAGCTGTGGAACTGTCAGCCAATTTTGGAATGGGTTTCGAGATTGCCTGCTGCCTGAGACCTGTTCGCTTAGAGAAGTGCGATGTACTTAGTGCCTGAAACAACCCACTCAGGGGTGGCACTCGTAGTCTTTTTCGAGGACCCGATCCAGATGGGCCTGCGAAAGGCTTTGCGTCGGGAATGGCACAAATATGATGCACCTTGTTGCCACCGATTCATTGTCCCCGGCTGGAGCATACTCGACCAGTGTAATAAGACATTGAAGCATAGAATCACGAAGACGATTTTCTTACCTATAGCTTGCAGCCCGTCTGTGGTCATCCTTCTAGAAGTTGGCGCTTCAGGTCTGTCGCCAGTCAACTGAGTTGTTGCACTGCTCGGAAACTGTTAGTTCCTCATATCAAACCCTGTGGCATCATGGACGCTTTGGGCAGATCTATTCCAACCCTCCTCCAGCTTGCTTCTCGAGCCGTCAACGAGAGCGAGTCCGGCAACAAGTCTCCTCAAGATTTCGCAAAGGAAGGCCGATACAACTATGTTCCATCATTTGCCGCATCGGTCATTTTTCTCGTGCTGTATGGTGCTGCATCGATCACGAATCTGGGCATGATGTTCTGGCACCGATCCTGGTTTTGGTGGTCCATGAACTTTGCGGTGGCTAGTGAGTCTGACCCGTCGTACCCCCATTTGCTGCTGCATGGCTGTACTGACCTTGACACAGTGGAGTTTGTTGGATATCTGACTCGATCTATTTCCATCAAAAATCTCGATGGCAAGAGCGTCTTCATCGTCCAGACTGTTATGAGTAGGTCGCCCCCAAACGAAAGAAAGCATAGGAACCCGGCAAGGGACTAGAGGCCCCTATATTTTTTACCATCCTGATCCTCCGCTAACCACCAAACCAGTTCTCGTCGCGCCCGCCGTGATGGCGGCAGCCTGTTATATGGCGTTCGGCCGGGTCGTGTTATGGGTGGTCCCTCCACGCTTTCAGACAGCTCGCCATCTGTGGGTGCCTGCACGCAGGATCACCCCCGTGTTTGTAGGATCGGATGTCTTCAGCTTTTTTGTGCAGGTCATTGGAGGCGCCATGGTCGCCGGAGCAAATACGAAAGAGCACGCAAACACCGGGAAAAATGTGGTGCTGGTCGGACTGGGTTTACAGTTGGCATCATTCGGCTTCTTCGTCTTCGCCGCCCTGCGACTCAACGTCCTGCTGAGGACCACGCTTCGAGATGTTTCACTACCGAAGGAGCGCAACTGGCAGTTGTTCTTGACGGTGATCAACGTGGCCAATGTATTGATTCTGATTCGGACGCTGCTTCGCTTCATCGAATTCGTCTTGGGGACGAGCAATTACCTCATCGATCACGAGTGGTTCTTCTATGCCTTTGATTCGGCGCTGATGTTCCTTGTGGTGATAGTCTTCATTGTCGTTCACCCAGGCCATTATTTGCCATATCTGGGGATTAGGAGAAGGGAACAACAGTTCTCAAGGAATGCAGACAAGGGCCCTTTTGCTAAGCTTTCGCAGGGCCACATGACGCTGGAGTTGTCATGAGGAGAGTTCCTAGCACCAGATGGCGGTAGCTAGGACGAGAATGGGCTGGAGCAAAGATGGCAAGAGGACATGTGGCTATTCCACGGAGTGATAGTGCCGAGATGGTGTCTATCGGGTCCTTGCTCTTTTCCTCTTTTGAGAAGGACAGACTCTTTCGCCGGCCTTTGGTACCCTCTGATATCGCCGTTATTGGTGACGACGAATATCTCGAGCTAGAGTCTTGGCTTCGGCAAAAGCGTAGGGTGGCAGGCTGGGTGGCAGCAAAGCAGAACGATGGGTGCACGTGGGTGTGGATAGGATCGATAGTGGTGTTCGGTTGTTGGTCCTGTGCCTGGTCATTATCACCCGGAATTGGGGAACTGAGGGTTGGGATTGGTGTTGATCAACTTCACCTAGGTACTTGTACTTGATGTTTTCGGAGTATCCCATCAATTATTAGTTCTGCTGTACCAGTCCGGATCCTGTCAAGCGTGGGTACGGCCCTGATAGCGGCTACCGGCTGTCATGCTAGAGTGTCGATCAATGACTGAGGGATGGAGCCCGTGGCCGACTTCCGAGTGTCTATTTGAACTGTGTCACGGAGGCCCAACTCGGTTCTGACGAAGGAGTGAAGGCGCAGACGGCAAGTCTTGAAAATGATGGTGGTGGTGGTGGTGGTGGTAGTAATTACTCGTCCAAGTAGTACCGAGTACATAGTGACAGAAGGATAGACGGCGAGGCGGATAATTACCGGGTGGGTTGGTGTGTGGCACCTGCGGTGGTTGATCCGGCTTGGACGGCATCTTGCTCATTCTCTCTGCCTCCCTCTTCCTCTCTCCTGCGCTGCGCTTCACCTGCACTTCACATCCATTTCTTGCTACTCCAGCGGCATATCCAGCCTGTATACCTCATACTGCCGATATCGTCGCAAACCATCCTCCTCTGGGCAGTTTTTGCGAGCCATCCTGAGGCTGGGAAGTCAAATCACAACCCACCGGAAAATGACCCGGGTGTGCTTGTCCGAGTCGACTTGGTACGATGAGATCGCAGACTTTGGCCAGGACATTCTCTAGCTTCCTCCATCTTGCAAGGTCTTGGTGGCGCAATACCACCAGTGACATGGAGCAATGCAAGCCATCAACGACATTCATGCCCGCCCATGCCACCATCAAGACACCAAGCCCGCCCATCCAGGTAAACAAGAAGAGACGAGCATCACCTCAAGCATTGGCATCCGCTACTTATCCCCACACTTGACTCTTGTCGCGTCTCATGCCGTCTTGATAGGATCCCGTTTCATTGCATCTGCTAAGCCTCCTTTGCGGCGGCATTCTTATCCACATGTTACCTGCTCAAGCTGCTAACCTGGCCAGCGTCGTGGGACAAGGGAAAAACTCCCCTCTTCCAAGCTCGAATGCCCACCATCACGTCCCCGAAATTACGCGGACTGTTTGCCCACAGTCTCAAAATCCAACCGCCGATGTATCAACCGCCACTTTGGTCGACCCTTTCCGATGCTGAACTGGGTATGTCGTCAACAGTGCGGCGGTCTTCGTGGTTGGTCAAAAGACGACAAGCCGTCGCTTGGTATCGTCGCTAGTCCTTTTTCCCCTTTGTCCACCATGAAACAGCTGTATTTTTTTACATATAGTACGTGTTGGCCTCTTTTTGCGTGAAGGATAGCTACAATGCTGCCTTGGCCCTGCTCCAATGCCTCTCATGGGGCATCGGCGCTTCGAGATGAAGCCTTTTGCCATCAGGCTTCTCCTCTGGGCAGTCGTTGCTGTCGCTAGTGCTTTTGTCCTCTACCTAACCATTTCATATGCTGCAATTCCGCTCCTTATCTGGTTGTCTCCGACGCTGAATCCGACCTTGTATGATCTGGGCTTTTATGGTGGTTCACCATCGCAGACATATATCTCCAATGGGTTGAGTTCGCCGCGAGTGAGCATAAGCAAATATGACCCAAATTGTGATAAGGGATATACCTTTCTCAATTACAATGGAGGCTCAATGCCTAATCCTGGTCCAGCTATCCTGGACAGCAACAGTGAGCTTGTTTGGAAAGGACAGAATTTTGATGTGACGACGAACCTGAAGGTGCAGAGTTATATGGGTCAGCAATACTTGACGTTCTGGTCCGGTAAAAAGGGAGGGACTATGGGCAAAGGCGTCTATTACATGGTGAGTTTGCGACTTTCTCATCATATGTCCGCTACTAATGAAAGGACTAGCTGGATAGCTCGTACGAGATCAAACACACAGTTGCAGCAGTTGCTCGAGGAAGCGACATCGAAGGCGACCTGCACGAGTTCAAGATCACCAAAGACAATACCGCACTGTTAACATTCTACAACATCACCCCAGCTGACCTCTCCTCATTGGGGAAATGGAAGAATGGATGGGTCACCGACAGTGGTTTCCAGGAAGTTGATATTGCGACTGGTGAGCTACTCTTCGAGTGGAAAGCCTCGGAGCATTTTCAGGTCAATGAAACCTTCATGACTCACCCATTTGGCGGATATATCAAAAGTATTCCTTTCGACTTCTTCCACATCAACAGCGTCGACAAAGACTCCAAAGGCAACTATCTCATCTCTTCGCGCCACACCCACACGGTCACCTGCATCAGCCCAGATGGCGAGATTATGTGGATCCTTGGCGGCCAACGTAATCAATTCAAGGATCTTTCAGGGGGCGACGCGCTCAACTTCAGGTGGCAGCACGATGCCCGATGGTTGGACGAACAAGAAGGGATCCTGACGCTTTTCGACAACAAGGAGGGAGGGCCCTTGCATGTCGACGGTCCCTACAGTCGAGCGCTAATGCTCCAACTGGACATCGCCAACCGGACTGTAACCCTCCTGCATTCTTATATTTCTCAATATCAAACACGGACACCTTCTCAAGGGTCGGCGCAATACCTTCCTGACAGCAGACACGTGTTTGTGGGCTTTGGCCACTCGCCAGTTTTGAGCGAATTTTCTCTGGACGGAACTCTGCTGTGCGAGGTCCATTACGGTGCACCATGGCTTCATGTCTTCACTACTGCAGTTTCGTATAGGGCTTACCGATCAGCGGACTGGGTCGGTGAGCCTCGACAGCCGCCAGCCGCCACCATCTTGGACGATATACTCTACGTCAGTTGGAATGGAGCGACTGAAGTAGTGGCATGGGTATTGCAGGGAGGTGGCACAGGAGAGCAAGAGGAGGAGGAATGGACCGATCTCGATTTCATTGATAAGCAGTTCTTTGAAGAAAGCTTTGACCTATCTCAACTATCTCAGTATTCCCAATTCCGCGTTGGCGCCTTGGGCCGCGAGGGTCAGATCTTGGGATACTCGGATATCGCTCCACGAGAAAGCTCTGGGAGTTGGTGGGGCTTCCTCCTTGCTGTGTTTCTATGGGGTTTGGCATCCAAGATGGCCTGGATGGGCTACAAATGGTTCTCACAGCACAAGGGAGCCAGTAAGAGAGGCGTTTCGTGGGTGGTTTGGAAAAAATCGTGACAGGATTATTAGAAGGCGTTTCTGCATGGCTCAAGCATTTACAAGGGACAAACTTGCAATTTTGTAGAGACAGAGATGCTCAAATTGTATGGATGCACGGATTGTACTCGGGTACCTTTACATTCCTTTCAGGAACGAAAATGATGATCACTCATAGAATGAGGCGCCAATAGCATCCGACCCGCAGTCCAAAAAAGGTCCTAACAAGCTAGCTTGTTTGCTTGTGCCCTCCTCATATTTAAGTGGGTGAAAAGTGGCACAAGTGGCTCCGGGGTATTTTTATTATTATTCGGTGATTTTGCGAGCCTCATTCCAGTCCAAATCGAAATTCCATTCGTCGCTGCGTGACTCAAAAACTAACTGCCTTGCCTGCGCCCAACTCAAGGGGAGGTGACTCAGTAAGAGAAGCCTAGAGTCTCATGAGCTTTTTGAAGCGTCCATTCTGCTCATCAGCTCTGAGACTCTGCACCAAATCCACCAGAATGGCTCAACCTCCCTGGACCATGCCAACGGGCACCACCCACCAGCCGCAGTTGAAGATCTACAACTCGTTGACCCGGTCAAAAGTCCCCTTTGTCCCTATACAGCAAGGCCACATCTCGTGGTATGCCTGCGGTCCCACGGTCTACGACGATGCCCACCTGGGCCATGCGCGCAACTATGTGACGACAGACATCATCCGACGTATTCTGCGTGATTACTTTGGCTTCAAAATCCGCCTTGTGATGAACACGACCGACATTGATGATAAGATCATTTTAAGAGCGAGGCAACGGCATCTATATGATGAATACAAGAAGAACCACCGGTATGTTTTGTTGGCAGCCGCAGACACTTCCGTATAAATAGAGATGCTGACTCGGACCCATCTTAGGTACATCGACGATCAAGTCCGTCAAGACGCCCGGCAGGCCTGGCTCTACTACATCCAAAAGAACCTGAAACGCATCGGACCCAAGGATTCAGCGACGCCCGAGACGTTTGACGGATTCGTCGAGCACATATATGGAGACATCCTCGCGGGGGGCAGTCTGGAGCCTGGCACGAAGCCTGGTGACAAGGAGGCCAAGATCAAGATGCACATCAACACCGCCCGCAACGCGGCAAAGGCCCTGATGCAAGATCCCAAACTCCTGACCCCGCACGAGTTCTACAACCGCGTGAGCGATCCCATGTGCCTGGTTCTGGACGAGCAGTTTGGGAAAACGATCCGCGGGGACGACTACGCCGTGTTCACGAAACTGACAAAGGAATACGAAGCCCGGTTTTTCCAGGACATGCACGACCTCAACGTCATGGATCCGGATGACCTGGTCCGGGTCACCGAGCACGGCAAGGAGATTGCAGAGTTTGTCAAGAAGATCGTGGACAACAAGATGGGATACCGGACGTCGGAGGGTTCGGTGTATTTCGACATCAAAGCGTTCGAGGCTGCCGGATACCCTTATGCGCGGTTAGAGCCCTGGAACAAAAACGACAAAGAACTGCAGGCCGACGGCGAAGGTGCCTTGTCACAAAAGGACGCCTCAGCCAAGAGGTCCGACGCCGACTTTGCCCTGTGGAAAGCGTCCAAGCCCGGCGAGCCCAGCTGGGACAGCGAATGGGGCCCTGGTCGGCCGGGGTGGCACATTGAATGCTCAGCCATGGCGTCTGGGAAGCTCGGTCAACAGATGGACATCCACTCTGGCGGGATCGATCTGGCTTTTCCTCACCACGACAATGAGCTCGCCCAGAGTGAGGCATTCTGGGCGAATCATGGTCAATGGGTGAATTACTTCCTCCACATGGGCCACCTGTCCATTCAAGGTTCAAAGATGTCGAAATCCCTGAAAAACTTTACTACCATCCGAGAAGCCCTCCATGTGAGAAAGGACTGGACGTCCAGGAGTTTGCGGATTGTCTTCCTGCTCGGAAACTGGAAGGACGGGATAGAGATCACGGACGACATGGTCACCGAAGGCAGAAACTGGGAAGACCGTGTGGACAACTTCTTTCTCAATGCCGTTGATGCCATGAAGAACACAAAACCCTCCGATGAGCAGCGAGCCAGTCTGGAAGACGCCGTACTAGATGCCGAAGAGAAGGTTCGAAATGCGTTACTCGACTCCTTCAACACACCCGTCGCCATGAACACCATCTCACAGCTAATCAACACATACAACAACAGCGCCAAAAATTCCGAATTGACCGCAGCCGATCATCGCAGGGTCGGCCTTTTCGTTACACGCCTAGTCAACATCTTCGGCCTGAATGGCTCTGAACCAGCAGACACCAATCTGGTTGGCTGGAAAGGCATAGAGATCCCCGACGCCGCAAAAGAGTTTGTGTATCCGCTGGCCAGAATACGTGACGAACTGCGGCAAGCCGCCATTGCCAAATCCATCACAGCCGAGAAAGTCCAGGAAATCGTTTCTACCACACCGACAGGGCTTGAAGATACTCCTCCACTCGGGAGACCGCGACCTTCGTATGCCCGTGCACTGAGCGAATTCAGCAGGGACGCCCTCCAAACAGCTTCCATCCCCACTGGCACACAACCCCCGCTTGATATCAACAAACAGATCCTCGCGCTCTGCGACCGAGTCCGAGATGTCGATCTCTGGCAACTCGACATATTCCTTGAAGATCGAGAAAACGCCCCTGCGCTGGTCCGGCCCGTCACCGAAGGCCTCAAGGCTGCGCGGCGCGAAAAGGAAGACAAGGCCCGCCAAAAGGAGGAGGCGAGGAGACAGCGCGAGAGGGAAGCGCAGGAGAAGCTCCAGAAGGCCAAGATCAGTCCGACCGAGATGTTCAAACCGCCACATTCGGTGGAGTATTCGTCATGGGACGGGGATGGTGTGCCGACGACGGCCAAGGACGGGACGCCTCTGACAGCAAGCCGGGTGAAGAGGCTGAAGAAGGAATGGGAAGCACAGAGGAAGGTGCACGAGAAGTACCTGGCCACGATTGGGCTGCCGAACGGTTCGGGACCGTCATCTGCTGCTCGCTAGGAGTGAGTGGGTAGTTTTAGGTTGAGGCATCAGACCGACTCCCAGCTGTAGATTCTTTCCTCGTGGGCTCTTTTCTTTCATGATGTAGGACTGTATAAGATACCCAGCTTCTCGGAGACATGGCTCGAGGGCACGAGGAACGAGGAGAGAAAAGAGGAGCGCGTGAATGGAAAACAAAAAGCACCACTGAAAACTGGATAGATTCCTTTGCAAAGAAAAGAATCATAGCTTTCCCTCCCGTTTCAACCCGTCGTAGAGCGCCATGGCCGCCAGCGTCTTGCCGTCTCTCCACGCGACCTTCCAGACGTCGTGCAGCCGGACGATTCGCAGGGTGATTTTCTCACCGTGGTCCCGCAGCCCCGTCAGTTTGCCCTTGAGGGCCTCGATCTGGGCGTGCGGGAGTGTCTTGCGGGCGAGGAAGATGGGTATGAATTCGTCCGAGCCGCCCGGGGACGGGTACATGGCGAACTGGAGTTGCTCGTCGCCTTTTCTTTCTTCTTCTCCTTCGGAGACACTCTTCTGTGGGTCGGTGGTGACGCAGGCGGCGAGTCGCGTCATGTCGACGAGTACGTCGGCCGAGATCTCCAGCCCCGTCTCCTCGTGGATCTCCTTGGCCGCGGCGCCCGCGAACGTGCCGCTGTCGTCGATCATGCCCGCGGGCAGTTCGACGAAGCTGAGCGAGCCGGCGGGGATGCGGGGCTGGATCGTCAAGATGGCGTACTCTTCTTCTTCTTCGTCGTCGTCGTCGTTCCCTCCCGGCTGAGGCCTTGCCTTGGAGGAGGTCGTACCTCTCGCGGATGATTGCTCGGGGAAAGTGCCAGGCGACGACGACGCCGCCGTCAGGACGATCAACATGGCAACACTCCCGCCGCGCATGAACACGGAGCCGGGGAAGGACTCGTCATTGTCGTTGGTCACGGTGGCTTTCAGCTTAAGGAAGCCGAGACGACCGCTGGAGAAGAAGTCGGCGGATTGGATCTCGATGGATCTCAGGGAGTACGGGGTCGTGTGAAACGGGTGGCTTGCTGAGCTGTGCTGCAGGGAGAGATTCCTCTGTAGGGTATCCAGCCACGTCTTGAAGGCCGGGAAAGTGAGAAGTTGGTCCTCGGTGAGCGTCGAGGGATGGGTGACTGGGATTTCGGGGTCGGTGTTGGGGAGATTGAATGTGGTTGTTGTTGGCCGTGGCGGCGATGACGAGAACGCCATCGTCCTGGACAGTACAGGGAATGGTGGGAGTGAGCGTTGAAGTTGGCGCGAGAGATGCTTCAGCCTGGAAACCATGGACTCACCGGGCAGACAGAGTATGCATGCACGTTTTGATGTGAGGGATCTCGTTCCCGGCGGTTGACAAGAGTGACAGTCCAAGTACAACATCCTTGTTTCGAGTGAATGCGAAGTCGAGGGAGACCAATCGTAGCCAGTCTCAAATTGGAACTAATTGGGACGGTAAAGGCTTTGTCTGACATTTTGTAATGACATATATACTGGGAAGTTTTGTGTGTGGATATGCTGGAAATACCAATGTCATAATTCCAATGAACCCCGTAAATGACGCTGGTCGGATTTCTCTCTCACAACCTCCAACCACTCGCACACACTGTTCTCTCTATGTAAAGACACATGTGACGGGATCCCATCATTCTACACTACAAATTTCCCCGCCAAACACCGTCGACTTTCTATACTCGAACCGCCCCAGCACCCGACAACAATGAACAGAACTACCTGCGCCGCTGCTAAAGAACCAACCACCACTACCACATTCACTCTCCGCAACCCTCCATACTCTTACTTCCACCTCCACCTGCACACCATCCCTCTGCACACTGACCAGGCGCTGGACGAAATCACCCTGCGCTCGTACCTCTCGGCGGCGCTTCAGCAATATCTCGGACTCACCGGGGGAGCCATCCCCGTGGACATTTTGAAGGTCGAGGGGTCCGACGCCTGGATCCGCGTTCCCAGTGACGATGAGGTCGCTGTCACGGCCGCGGTGAGTCAGTGGGTCGGTGTCAGGGGCGTGAGCTTGGCGATTGTGGCGAGAGGGTCGTGGTTGGGCGGTGTTGTTGCAAAAGGGGCGACAAAAGGACTGTGGAGTCTGGGGTGACCGCTAAAAAAGAAAAAAAGAATCCTCCTCTGCCGAAACGATATCTAATGTATCTGTCGAGGTGATGGAACACCGTGTCTCGACATGCAAAGCCCATGTCTGTCGTTTAAGGCTATGGTGTTCACACGCCCAGCGCTTCATGCAGAGTGATTTCATCCGAGTCACTGTCGACATCGAGTTTGTCCTCCGCCACGAAGACGTCAGTCTTTGAACGACTTTTCCGAGACAGCCACCCAAAGGGTTTTCGAGGCTTTGCTGTGTCTGTAGTTCTCAGCAAATGCGCGATAACCATCACGGGGGATCGATGCAAAATACCTTTCTCCGCCATGGCCAGCTGCTTCAATGCGGCTTTTCGGGCCTGCTTGGCCTGGTCTCTGAGGAGCTTCTCCTGTTGTTTGCGAACCTTCTCGGACTGCTTCCACGCGGCGCGACGTTTATTGTATTCTTGGACTTCAAAGTCATGTTGGACGGAATATGGTGAGATGGACATTGCAAAGAGATCTTGGGTTTCGTGGAGGTACAGTAATTGGGACTAGATATGTGGACAGAAATGTGGTCTACTCAGACGACTTCCTGGTGAGCATGATCCGGTTTCATTGCGATCATGGACGATACTTATAGCCATTCCGGACTATGGGAAAACCGAGATGGCCGTGGAAGGATCTTGCGGGTGACCAAGGGGACGATACATGAACATCAGGCTCTACGGCGGATAGATGGCCCGTGCGATATCAGCACCTACAGGACTTTACTCTGGTGGTTTCTCTCGCTGGAAGTCGGGCCGGAAAGCAGAAGATTGATAATGAACGATTCTGTCTCATCACGCTGTCCAGATGATAGGAATTGAGCGGACCGCAGCCCGTTGTCGCGGTGGAGAATGTCTGCACGGTGCCTTGACGGGCCATGTCTCGCCGATACATGATAGCACGATCGACTATGTTGCCACAATTGCAGACGATCACGTTGTAGGACTCTGCATGTGTATGAGGTGTTGTCTAGCACAAGAGAGACATGGTTACTTGTGCTCGTACATCAACACTTTTACTCGGTATGGTGAGGGCGGTTCTCGCCTGTGGTCCATAGTCTGTGGCGTCTGCCGGGCTGGCCGAGGCTGGCTGGAGACGCCCATTCTGTTACTAGTGAGCGGGTTGAGCGATTCCAGCCGAAACCTTACAGTGGCCATGATGACCAGAAACGGCATTGTCACTCCTAATTAATTGATAAAATCTGCAGCGAGGGAGAAACTTGGACTTTTGACGGAACCACTTACAGGGGTTCATGATTCTAGAACTCGGTCCTCGTCGCCATCTGGGCCATGGACAACCACTACCGAATTTCCCCAACACACATGGCTCAAAGTGCCTCATGTCCACATGGCGTTGCTAACGTGCGCCATGACCCAAAGTTTTCTCCTTTCTCCCCTCAATGCGCTCCATTGAAAGGGGATTGTTTGGCCTTTGAGGCGAGGCCATGTTGAGCATCGCTCGGTTTAAAATGTCCTGGCACCAGCTGGTGAGTCTTGTGTGTCGTGTGGTGTGTCGTTCAGTTTGACTTTGTTCACTTGTCACTCTCTTCTTCATATTTGCTGTGCCTGGCGCCATTGAAGAAAGGAAAAAATGCCTTCAATCGAGGAATATCTCTTAAAGGAACCCCAGCTCAATGTCCACAGCCTCAACTCCTCCAAAGATGACCTCCCCCGGCCATATGAGAGTCAGTTCCAGAGCCAGCCTGTGTCGCCGCCGCCGCCGCCGCCGCCCCCGAATGCCCTCCCCCCTAAACCTCTGAGACCTCTTCGCAAATACTGCACCGTCCGAAATGGCCTCATCACCTTTGGAGTCTTTCTGGTCTACGTGGCGTGTATCATTGGCTCCGTCCTCCCCGGTCTGATCGCTGGGTTCCCCTTCTACACCCTCCTCGACATTTTCGGGAATCGTCGACTAGCGGTGCGACTCTTTCCCTGCGACCCTTCTCTCTATTCCGGGCGGTTCGCCATCAACTTGGCTTGGGGTTCGTTCACGTACACGTCGGTCAAGATCCTGGATGCAGGTCTCAACTTGATCCTGGGCAGGGGCTCGCAGGTTTTCTTGTCGTGGCTCTCGTACCATCTCTTCAGCATGGCCATCCTCCGGATTCTCCAGAAGGAGCGGGTGCCGTTGCAGTTGTACACAGCCATGGCGTTCGATACGACGTCCATCAAGGGGGCGTGGTACCAACTCCGAGCCGTCACAAAGGTGGACACGGTCCGTGCCCGGGTCACCCTCATCTGGCTTGCCGTGTCGGTAGCGTATCTGATTGCGTTGCCCACCCTCCTCGATCTGACCACCGGGTACATGGTCGAGTACAAGACCATGGTCAACATCACCACTGCAGGAGACTCGACATACAAACTGATTGAGCTCGACTACGACCAACTCGACAGGATTTCACTGGACGCGCACTGTGCGAGTAGTGGAGGGTGTCGCGTGGATTACCCGGGCCAGTTCACCGACGTGTTGATCGCGGGGCAAAACATGTCGTTCAAGGCCTTCGTCGACGACAATTACAACTGGGTCATGCAGACCGACGAAACCCCCAGGGGCATCCTGCAGTGCGTCCCCAGCACCACGTACCAATGGGGCCTGTCCAGCGGCTACCTGTGGATTGTCTGCGCCCTGACCAACTTCTGGATCGCCGGCATGTTCGCCGTGTGGATCGACAGCTTCCGCAACGGCATCCTCTGGCGCAGCGGCCGCGGGTTCGGGCGGTACCGCAACATCATCGACATCGCCGAGCACCTCCAGGCGCGCTTTGGCCACGACCTGTGCGGGTACACGCACGAGGAGCTGGAGAAGAAGGTCGACGCCCTCGACCCCGTGGGCATCGAGGTCCTGGCCGAAGGCGAGTGGGCGCACATCCGCCTGAGCCAGAACCCCGGCGGGCAGCATCTGCTGTGCACGCCCGGTCTGCAGTACGGGGGAATTGGGAGACTGAACAACCGAAGAGTTTCGGCCACGTGGCCGTTGCCCGGTCGAGGACTGTAAATCGAGGGAGAGGAGACCGTGGTTATAGACTAATGACCAATGTACGTATTTTTGTTCACGATATTTTCCTACAGTATCCTAGTCGTGGTCGATGTAAGATCCTCATCCCTCATATGAGTAGATATTACGTACTGGATACAAGGACCGAGTACATGTGCGTGCGATAGACGCAGGTAGAAAGGATTTTGATTTACAACCCCTATCCATCCGCCTCCTTATCTTGCCTAGAGGTAAAGCAGACAGGTAGGCAGGCAGGTAGGCAGGCACCTGATAGACTAGAATGAATCACACTCACTCACTCATTCATTGACCATCGTGACCGCCCTCTCCACTTACCAAATGGCGTCAACGCTTGATACATAATATCGCCCCATTGCAATCCCCATTACGTCAGCCTTATTGGCCAACCTAATTAGGCCTCTTGCCTCGTGCAAATATAAAGGAAATATCGCACACCTCCGCTGGGTAATGGTCATGCCCCCTCCCCTACCCCCAAGGGAAGGGGAACGGCCAACGAGGAGACCAATGTGATGGTCACGGTGGTAGCGATGGTGATGGTGATGGCGCTTAGAGTGGGAGGGTACCATCCTCCCAAAACAAACCAGACTGCGTTGTCGGATGTATGTACTCGGTTAGTATGTGCAGGAGGAGTACGCCGCTCTCTTTTTCCATCTTTGACCCTGACGTCCACTCAACCAACACTTTCGCCAATACGTCGCGACGGTGTAGGAAGCTCCAGAGGGGTCCGATGACGCCTTTCACCGTCGAGGTTGTGTGACAGCAAGAGACAGACAGGGAGGATCTGAGCAAACAGTCAAGTAGGTAGGTAGTCTTGACAGTCAGCGATATCATCACCACCTGTGGCTGCCTGTGGCTGCCTGTGGTCACTTCAGACAGACAGACAGAAAGACTGGAAGACTCGACATTTAGTAGACGAGTCAAGAGCTGCTCAAGATGAAATTGGACGTTAGCCTATGGTAGAAGAGACGTGGGAGATGAGAATGTTTCTCCTATAGAAAAAGTATAAGAGTTCGATCAACGTCAGATCACTCACCAAGTCAGTGTCAAGAATGATGCAAGCGCCCCATGGCGGGCGGCGGCTGAAAGACACGGGAAGAAGGGGCTGGCTGGCTGGCTGGCTGGCTGGTCATGTACCAGGGGGTCCACTAATCCTACTGTAAAGCTTTGCGTTTTGAGGTGTTGAGTTAGGTTGGAGCCTTGGAACCATCGTGGAAGTTGGGGAGGGTAAGAGAATCAATAGGTACTTGGTGCTGTTGGTGTACTCCATGTAGACAATACAAGTACATAGATACAGAGAGGAGGTTGAACCCAAGCGGCCACCTCAGCGAATCCGATTCCAGATATATCCTCAACTGGTGAAAACGCCTCATATTCCCGAGGATGGACACTGTAGGTACCTACATAGGTATGTATGGGATGGATGTTGATAAGTGGATGGATGATGGATGATTCATGATGGATGGGTGGGTGATGGACATGATAGATATGTGTGATGTCCCACAAATCTGCATGTATTATCACTCCACAGCAGTGAGTGAGTAGTGAGTTACTAGTAGTGAGAACGTACATGGTACATGGTACAGACAATACCGTACAGGCTACAGACAAGAGTGGGAAAAAACCATTCTACATCGAGCACAGTGTGTAGACATACACTACATTATGTACATCACCCCTATTCATTACATCTATCTATATATCACCTCTCTCTATATATCCCAGATATTCCATACATCTCATATATACATTCCAGACATTCCAGACATGCATCCCATACAACGTATTAACTTTCCACCCCACTGCCTCACTGCCTCTCTCCCTTTTCCTCCTCCCCACCATTTATCAATCATCTCCAAGAATGACACTGCTGACACCATGCTGGTGTGATTCTCATGGCTTGGCCTGGCCTGGGCCGGCTTGTCTGAGCGTTCCGAGCGTTCTGATTGAAGACGTCATATGTTCCCATCTCATTCACCTCATAACATAATATGTATAGCATTGCCTTGCCTTGCCATACTCGATACGGGCTCCTCCGGGACCCCTATGTGCTTGCACTTGTACTTGTACCGCATGCGTTGTGAACTCGGGGGACAGTTTGTGTGAAGAGAGGGAGAGAGGGAGGGAGGAAGGGTGAATAGTAGATAGTTTTTGTGTGGGTGAAGTGTAGCCGAGTCTCTTCTAGTGCAAGCCAACATCATTGACTCCCCGAGAGGATGGCGACATGTACTTGGGCAGTATGCCGCGCGGTCTCGGGCCAACCTGATAACAACCAGAGCGGCGGGTGCTGGTCGAGGGCGAATACCGAGCGACGTGATTGTAGACCGTGGGTCAATCATACAAGTAGGTAGCTGGCAAGGCCCAAGCAAAGGCGTGAGGCGCTTGGATGACTTCGACTCGACTTCGATATTATTTGGTAGATGGAGTCTCAAAACTGAAGATTCGATCTCGCAAGAACCTTGCATGGTGGTCGGTTGTATGCCACGAGGCCATATGGAGGATACTGGCTGTCGAGATAGGCTCATGATCTGTCTATCCTTGTCTCGCAGTGGGACTTGTCTTTTGACGACTCATGGTGACAGTGGCGGCGATGTACGTCCATTTGACAAGGCTTCACCATGGCACTCAGTCACCATTCCATATTTGTCAAAGGCTCAGCAGAGACGGGAAGACCCTTTGGGCCATCTCATCTGCAACAAGACGAGATGGTCGACGGGATTGTGTGGGTGATTGACCGTGCGCAGTCCCTCTGCAAAAATTCGCATCGGTGATACCAACGAGACCAATTCACACAGTCGACGTCACCGTTGATGGCGGCAGACGTTCATCAACCCAGATCATAGGCCATTTTCTCGACCGCACCGTCCTCATGTACGATTGCTGCTCGTTGGTGGGCTGGGGTAGTTCTGCCGTGAACTCGCGGCGTGCGACGACGCGATGGAGTGCTGCGGCACCCGCCACAACGATCCCAGCGATCAGGATGCACAGAAACACCACGAGTCCGTCTGACAGGCCCATGGTGGTCGAAATTTAGACCAAAATACTTTTTGAGAGGGAGGAATGCTCGAATTAAGGCCCCGATCGTCGTTTTGAATGTCAAGGGATCAGTGGGTGGAACAGGGAATGGAAAGATGCAAGGAGAAAAGAGAACGATTGGGAGACTCACCTGACGCGGACTTTCTGTATATACATATCTCACCAGAGAAATGTTCGCACAGTGTCTCGGCACATTGTCTCTCCCGGTGGACACCAACCCGGATTGCAAGAGAGCATTACGACGCAAAATCCCCCCTCCTTGAGGATGGCGGGCTGCCTGATGCAGGATTCCCCAGCACCAGCCCAACAGCAACTGTGCATAACGAGAATGTTGTGTGGGCAGGTGGAGCGACAAACACACAGCGCGTCCGCATCCGAGGGGCTTTTAACTCGACGAGAAGAGCCAATGAAAACGTCAGGATCCAGGACACCAACGCGCGTAAGCCCAGAGTTTTTCCAGTTTGTCGCAAAGCCTGCACGGTTCAGGAGGATGGTCTCAGATCGCATACCGGGACCCAGTGAAATATTGTGCTTTTGTTTTCCATCCACTTCTCAATTCGCTCTTTTCTGCAACGCCGGATGACCTCGGGAGAGCCACGGGTTGCGGCTGGTGGAGACCAGTTCACCGGTTTTCCCAAGGCTGTTTGTGGCTGTGAACACGCCAATGACGAAGGAGGCTGCCATGCTCGCTTGGGTTAATTTAAAGAGAGACCGCTCAGCCTGGTCCATAAATGACTCGAACGCCGGTGGACAACACGGAAGCAGTTGTAGAAAGACAAATCTGCCTTGTATACCTTGTATGCCATGTATGCCTATCGCCCAGGATCCTCCGACACTGTACCCTCGAAACAAAAGCCTACTCAGGGGTAAACAAACAACTTGCCATCTCTTCAATCCCTCTTGGGGGCCGTCCCAGGATTTCACCGATCAAGGGATCAACTGTCGCTGTCTCCCCTTTGGCGATTCCATCCTGAATTGCTGTTAGCACCAATCTGGTCGAACGGGAAAGCCAGGCTCGTTGCTCTGAAATACTTACATGCCAGCCACTCCAACTCTCCACAACCCAGAAGTTGTCCTCGGGCACACTTTTCTTCTCAACCTTGTGATAGCGTTCGGCTTCCTCTCTGCCCACGATGTCGACTTTGACTTTGCGCCCGGTGTGCTCCTCGACCAGCTTGGCGACATCACTGATGCTGGTTGCTCGTGGACCAGTCAGGCTCAATGTCCGACCGAGATACTTCTCATAATTTTGGAGAATCTTTGCAGTCGCTTCCCCCAGGTCATCCCATGTGACCCAAGCCACTGGACCATCGTTTGGAATGACAAATCTGATCTCGCCTGCGTCGCCCTTTTTGAATTTTTGTGATTGAAACCCAGCGTAGAGCCACCAGCTTTCTGCATAAATCCCCTCTCTCACAATAACATATTGCAGCCCGCTTTGTGTCAGATATTCGATAGTCCTGATATGCGCTTGCTGAACACCCGCTATGCTGTCTAGGCCGGTCTTGCCGCCAAACATCAAGCTGGTATAAATCACAGTCTTTACACCAGCCTGTTTAGCTGCGTCGATTGCAGCCTTATGATGGAGCCATCTGTCGACACTTGGCGAGGGAAACGAGACCAGAAACAGAGCGTCGGCACCTTTGAAAGAAGCGGCCAACGAGTCAGGAGACGTGAAATCGCCATGGCGGATCTCGATGCCGGCATCACGGGCAACAGGGGATACTTTGTCCGGATGGCTTGACGAAATGACCAACTGTGATGGTGGAATCAACTTCTGGCGTAGCAGTGTATCCAAAACTCGGGACCCCAAATGTCCCGTAGTTCCTGTAAGCACAATCATTGTGTTCTGTTTATACGCGATCCCGAAAACCTAATGAGCTTATCGTGGAGTTTAACAAACAATTGAGTGTAGTGAGTGTACTTGTAGAGAATTGATGACCTGGAAAGTTCTCCACAACCACTCGAGAACCACACGATGGCTCGAAATTTCTGGATTAACCACGAACCTGTCGTCCCAGAGCCCCAAAGCTTTGCTTGGTAATGACGTTTTCAGACTTCGGCAGATGTAGTCCGAGATAAAAGGTGCATTCGCTAGAGGAGCGATCTCATTTCGAACAGCAACAGGAAAAAGATGGATTATTCTCGTGAATGTATGCCCTTTCCCTGCAGCTCACCAAGGCTGCAGAGCTTCGCTTGTGCCGTGAAATTCACTTGCCTATGAGGAACTCGATTCTCAGTACTCGGAACTTGTAGGGGAATGACTGGCGGCTGTAGAGCTGCGGAAGCCCAGACGAATCAAGATGGTGGCCCCGCCAAGCCTAAGCAGCACTTAACGCGTCCCGCTTGACGCGCCTGGCATCCTTATGAGAAACTACGCTGCGTGCTGTTTTCATAATCCAATAACCCGCACAGCAACAAAAACACAGTATTGTCAAGTCATAACAATGTCGGGTCAAGCTGAATCATCTTCTGCGGCAGCGAGAAAAGCTCTCAATGCTGCTGGCAGTGGTGCAACACCAGATTACGAACTGCCATGGTAAGCCATTCTGACCCAAAAATCCGCAGAGCAGGATTGACCGACTTGAAGGGTAGAAAAATACCGACCTGTCTATCTCGACGACGTTGTTGGGAACACAGAGATCATCGAACGACTCAAGATTATTGCAAAAGATGGAAACATGCCGCATGTCATCATCTCTGGCATGCCGGGAATTGGGAAGACCACATCCGTCTTGTGTCTTGCGCGGACACTTCTGGGCGACGCATACAAAGAGGCCGTGCTGGAGTTGAATGCGAGCGATGAAAGAGGTATCGATGTCGTCCGGAATAGAATCAAAGGATTTGCGCAAAAGAAGGTGACGTTGCCACCTGGGCGGCACAAATTGGTTATTCTTGATGAAGCCGACAGGTATGGAGGTGCCTGCCGCATGTTTACGCGAGTCTAACTTGGGAGTGTAGCATGACACCTGGGGCACAACAGGCGCTGCGACGAACCATGGAAATCTATTCGAACACCACCCGCTTTGCATTTGCCTGCAACCAATCGAACAAGATCATCGAACCTCTGCAATCGAGATGTGCAATCCTGCGGTTTTCCCGTCTGACGGACGCGCAAGTGGTGAAGCGCCTGATGCAAATAGTCGAGGCAGAAAAGGTGGAATACTCCGAAGATGGCCTGGCTGCTCTCGTGTTCAGCGCAGAAGGAGACATGCGACAGGCGATTAATAACCTGCAGAGTACGTGGGCAGGATTCGGCTTCGTCAGTGGGGACAACGTCTTCCGAGTCGTCGACAGTCCGCACCCCGTAAAAGTCCAAGCAATGATCAAGGCATGCTGGGAGGGCAAGATCGACAGCGCAGTTGACTCGTTGAAGGAATTATGGTATGTCATACATTTCTGATCATTGCGGGCTCATGTCCGACAATGTGGAAAGTCACAACTAACCGGCATGGGGCAACCCTAAAAAAGGGATCTGGGATACTCCTCACACGACATCATAAGCACTATGTTCCGCGTCACAAAGACCATCCCCACACTCTCGGAGCATTCGAAACTCGAATTCATCAAAGAAATTGGATTCACGCACATGCGCATTCTCGAGGGGGTCCAATCTTTTCTGCAACTGAGCGGGTGTTTGGCCAAACTGTGCAAGATAAATATGAAGCCGGAGCTGTTTGAGGTTCCAGCATGAAGGACGAGCAATTAATTGACGGGACGGCAAGGGGCGGCGGCACCAGCGGTGTGCTGAGAAAAGACGTCCCAGATGCCATCTTGGCACTTCCAGACCGACACGGGCGGAGACCCACACTTGACTCTTGAATGAGAATAAGGACTACGATGTATTGCTTGGCAGGCTTGTACCGAGCCCAGCCAAGCTCCAAATCCGCCAATCTTCGCTCCAGTGCTGCGGGCATTCAGCGTTGCCCCTTCGAGAGGGGCTCGACGGTTACTCGGAAGTCGGGGCCCAGCCACCGATTGTCCGATCTGAGTAAGGGGAGGTCAATTCTTTCTTTCCAGCTTTCCACGTCATCACCTACTGATTTGTCCCCTTCGAGGAAAGCCGACGTCAATCACTCTGAACCCCTTTGGTTGATTTGACTGCTCTCCGGGCTACGAGTATGTTGCTAAGTGATAGTTCGGGGAGGTTGCGGTAGCACAAGCAGCGTGACGCGTCAGTGCTATTGGCATGTCAGTCGGGCAGACACAGACTGTCGGTTGAAGCTGGAGATTGCCCAGAGTCTACGGACGAGCAACATACGAGGCCCAGTGCCCCTCTCGCTTGAATGGAATTTTGAATGTGCCGTATTTCGAGGCCTCAGAACCAGGGCTGTGATGGCGGCGAGGCCTGAGGGGTTTGAGGCTGAGGTGCAGATGAAGGACCGTTGACCTGGGACTTTCCCCAGGTCCGCAAAAATAGACACGAATCAAGATGGACCTTTTAAAAACCGGACCTTTGAGCATTGAGTTTAGCCCTGATTGGGCGTCACGGGGGCGTGTACGAGGTACCTTGGCCCCGAGGCCAGATAGAGGGATGGAGGGATGGATGAGCCAAGCCAATTGATGTAGCCGACTCTGGAGGCCGTGCGAGCCTGCCAGGCCCTAGGCAAGCCTGGCAAGCCTGAAAGCAATTGAATGTGCCTGCGCTAGGCTCCAACAGGCCTGAAAAGGCCCTAAAGAATCAAAATTTCCCGGCCATGGCTTGCATGACGCGTCCTTGTCTCCGACCTCCGTTCCTTGCACTAAGAGGACTCTAACTGTCAATAGCTAGCAGTCTCCCTTACCAGCCACTGAATCCCCGTATAATGATGCTAAGTTCGGACTTCCAAGAAACCGCTTCCAGCCATGCGGTAAGGCTGTGCGCTCCACCCCTGTTCCCCCCCAACCCTGCGATAATCCAGAGGCCGTCCCTCGAGTAATAAGGTGACAGACAACAAACGCATGGCTCGCCTGAGGCTCGTTGCGCCCTACGAGATCCCTAT